TGCTTACTTTGGCCATTGCCACGATGGCTGACATACCAGATGAAGGAAAGTAAAATCTTTTAATCATTAATGAGATTAACATATAAGCCCCCAACGCAGAATATTCACTGAAGTAATGATTTCGACCATCCCAGTCGCCCACATTTGCTTCACAGGGAAAAGGATGTTAATATGGAAAATTGAATTCCTTTGTAAATATGAACCAATGAGCTTCTTAGCAAAGACTGAAAAGAATTTATGTATATATTCTGTGGTTTCCATTTCCTTGGCTTTATTGTTTTTATGTAAATTCTCCCAGGACATTTCAGGTTATACGTCTGGAAAGCACAGCCATCCAGCAGAGGAAAGGTTGAGAGAATAATGAGAAATGTGCTGGAAGAATTCACATAAAAGCTTTGGAGACATGAAAATGGAAACAACAGATACTTAAAAACTTATTGCTCAAAAAAAGAAAAGTCTCCCCAGCCTGCATGTGTGTGTTAATGTGTCTATCTGTATATACACAGACACATGTATTATTTCTAAGGATATTGGACAGAGCTATGAAGGAGAGATACAAGTGAATCCAAATATTTAAGATGTTCTCAGGGTACTGGACAAGTAAGGAAAAATCAAGATGACTTAGATTATTAGTACCCAGACATACATATAAATAGCTTGGCAGATAGCTGTCTCGCATTGAATTTTACACAGATTTTTATGTATGTAAAAAATATAACCAATCTGAAAGGATTCCAGCATGAAAGGGTGTTTATAACATCTCCCTGTACTCTTGTGAATGACAGCAAGCTAACTGTCATGGAAAGATGCAGAATCTGAATAGGAAAAAAAAAATGCTGTTATTTTTCAAGGTCTTCATTTGCTTCAAAGACTTTTATAAATGACTCACTGTTAAGCAGTAAACCTGTGATGCTTGATTTAGCTTAGCCCTAAGATGCTTGACTTGACACAACAAAGCATTATTAACCAATATTTTGGAGTATTTCATTATTTCATAACTTTCAGTATTCCCTTCCTTTCAGAGTATTCTGATAACACGCTCTATGAAACAGGTACCTCTCAAATTCTTATTTAGCACTCAAAAAAAAAAATGCAGCTCTGAATAGCACTAAAAGCTGCATTTTTGCACCTGAGCAATAAAAGGCAATAAAAATACCTAAAATAAATACCCGAAAATTTCTCTGGCTTCAAAGAAAACCGGACAAACATGCAAGGAAATGCCCTGCTCTGTACATGCTATGCCTTATCAAACCACTACCCCTGATGCAGAGAGCACCACAAATGTCAGAAAAAAAGGCATTAGCTGAAACAACATGAAGGCAGAATCAGTTATAGACTTAATAACTGCACTTGGTTAGGCAGCTACAGAGCATCATTTAATAGGGCTCATCTGGGGAAAAGAAACTTTTAAGTCTGTGGCTACTTCATCACCTCTAAGTACCTGTTCACACTGAGAAATAGGTGACAATTTGCCACTCGGACTTACTTATTTTAATTTCCAGAGGGCATAAGAGCTAAACGCTAGCTAAGTAACTTTGCTAATATAGTTCTGACTCACATTTGAGCCAAATACTTCATCTCTAAAACAAGAGCACTTAGCACTTTTGCAATGCTGGGTATTTTGAGTAAACAGAGTGCATTTCCCTTTCATTTTTAGGGGAAGCAATATAGCCACGTTACAGCAAATACAACTTCTGAGAGGAAGGTAAATGTAAAAATGGATTCCAGACCTCTGGCAAGTCTGAACAATTTAGCTTCAAAACTGATCCTCTTGCCAGGGCGAATTTTACTGGCTCCATAACTGGAGTGAAGAAATTCACTCATTTCATAAAATTTCATATGAATCTTTCACTTCAGTTCTCAGCTTAGATAAAGCAGTACAATAATTCAAGCAAAATACAGGGCCTGCAAAACCATTCTGCATTACTTCACTGAGAAGCCCATTTGCTTTCAGGGAGCTATGGAAATAACTTCCCCAACTCTTTTTTGACTTGCTCAAGAGCTTTCTTTGCCATGGATCCTATCAATCAAAACCTGGGATGGAGAAACATTTAATGCAGCCTAGCGGAATGGTAGATGACTACCTTCCAGTAATCTTTCCTTGCTTTAAAACTGCTTTTGGACATGAAAATAAGGCTAGAATTAAGACATAGAGCACATTCTGAAAGTACCCATGCTCACAAAATAGGAGCATAAAATTGAGGGCAGAAAGGGAATTCCTTCAGTGGCCAGCCACTGGAGCCATGGAAAGACAGCTACTATTTAAGAAAGCTGCTGTAGTGCAATCCTGTGTTACATAAATCATAACTACCTTCACCTTACATTCGTTCTTTCATATGTTTTTTGAACTTATCTTAATGTTGCTTGGAAGACAGCTCTGCTATTTCTTCAGGGTAGGCTCTACTTTTCCTTATAAGCATCAGCTGTGCCCCATCATGACTGGAGACTTCAGATGCAGCTGTAATGCCTAGAAAAGCATGAATGTCTTGTTTTAAGAGCCATTTTGTTTCAGAGAGGTCAAACTGTAAAACAAACAAACAAACAAGCCCCCAAACCCAGATATTTAAACATAAAATCCTAATTTAAGACCAAATAGGAATTCCATTTTCAGTTACCGCTACAGAGAGCCATCAGAATACACAGGTCACCTCCCTTCAAACGTAAGGGTATTCCGGATACTCCAATACTTAGTGCTTTTTCCAGGCTGATTAGATTTCTACTACCTCTTCTTCTATAAAGAAGTTTCTTAGCACTGCAAATAGGATTGATCGCTTTCAGGTGAAACACACAGGCACATTCATAGGACACAAACCTATGAAGACAAAAGAAGAGCAGCCTAAATAATTTATTGGGAAAGTTTCCTAACGCAAAGGGAAAACTCTCCTCTTCTGGAGCATATACACCTCCAAAAATACCCCTCAGTGGTACAGGCTCTGAGTCTGAAAGTCAATGTAACTGTCTTTTCCTACTAGGCCACAGCACTTAGCTCAAGAGGTACAAATTGATATGCCAAGTTATATATTATTTAATTACATTCCTACCACTTTAGGTCCCCACTGTTGTTCTATTGCATAAGGCTTCCTATACAGTTTACCATATTTATTTTTGACTGCATGTTTACATGCTTCAACTTAGGATTAATGCACATTAGCTTACAATATGTTTAGAAATCTAAAAGCAATTACAGATGATAAGCAGATATTTGCAACAACAAAAGGAATCACTGCAGAGTTAATGTTGTAATGGCCTGTAGACATCTATAAGCTCTATGTTCACTGCTCAAGAAAACAACAAGAGAGGAGTATGACTTAAGGCCTCCACGTTCACCCCTCTGCTTCACTAATACTACAGAAGAATGATGAACATCAAAAAGGGTCACCCAAACACAGGAGGTAATGTTAGAGCCAAAAAAAAAAAAAAAACCAGAAACTATAACCAACTTTGAGCACACTTCAGGAAGACAGTGGTAGGGCCGTAGGAGTTCAGTAGCTCCACACACTGACTTAGGCTTTTCTTAATAAGGAAAAACAGCAGCAGAAATAAACCTTAGGCCTCTCTTTTACCTTTGACTTTAAACAAAAAAAAAAAAAACAAATAAAAAAACCACAAAAAAAAAAAAAAAAAAAAAAAAAAAAAAAAACTGAAGCCTTTTACAGGTAAGCTAAGACAAGCCCCCATCAAGAGCTCATATACACTCTCTGGGGTCATCACCACAAGTGCAAGCAATCCAGCTAACGACCCCAGGAGAAACCACTTGCGGGAAAGTAAAGGGGAGCCCCTTGTGCTAATGAGCTCCAGGTGGCACTCATTAGCATTGAGCAGGACCTGGCCAAAAGCAGGTGAGACAGAAGGTAGTCTCTTTTGGAGGGAGGGTGTTCAGGATGTACCTGCAAGGTGCTGGCAGGGGGCTGCAAGTTCTTGCCTCTGCTTTAAGGAATTTTTTTTTTGGTCTTTCTTGTGAGGATGCATCTTTGTCCTGTCTCTTTTGTGGGGGTGCATCTTTCTTCTGCTCACTGAGGGTAAGGAAGGAGCCTAGCACTGTTTCCTGCTTGTATGGAAGCTGCTCAGGAAGCTGCTCCTTCAGGAGCTCAGCTACAGCTTAAAGGTAACATTTCTTATAGCTGATATTAAACAGCTGAAGAAGGAAATAGGGTGAAAGCAAGCAAGCCTAGAGGTGGCTCCTCTGGGCACCTGGCCTGCTATGGGACAGCCCCCTCCATAGCTATGAATCTATCCCTGGTAAATGGGAGGGTATCAGCTCTGAAAGATGCTCTTGGGGAAGTTTTTCCTTGCTTTTTCTTTTTACTCTAATTCCTTGAAGGGACACTTCGCTGTCTCACACTTCTCAGGATTATTTTTATGTCTTTTTATTTTATTGTGCGTAATTGCTTTTCCCTCCCGCGCAATCGCCTCAGGCGCGAGCCCGCGAAGCCTCCCGCCCCACCCCGTAACGGCCGCGCTTCCGCGGCGGATTGACGTCGCTGAGGACCAATCAGAAGCCCCCGCTCGTTCTCCGGCGGCGCGGATTTGCCCGCGGCGCGGGCGGGGGCGGGCCGCGGTTCAAAC